TTCCTAGTTCTTGTCCATTTCTTGCGTGTTTTTGAGATATTTGGTCTGATCAAGTTTATTTGACATGATATTTTTTGCAATGCAAACATTTAATTTGTAGGGAGGTAATTAGGTTAATGATTATCATGTCATGGAAATTGTTTGTCACGCTTATATAATTAATTTGGGTCTCATTGATATATATATGTAGTTATGTATGTACACCTAAATTTATAAATATGAGTTCTGATCATTACTTAGTTAGCTATCTATGTATATGCATTGTTGATTTGCTACAGAAATGCTTGTTTTGATAATTTTTTTCACTTAAGTTTACAAGAAAAAAAAAAAAAATGTTTGTTTTGATAATAAAAAAAATCACCAACACACCGTGGGAATCCACCTCGAGTTTGGTTGTCTGAACAGATATCTTTACTTGAACTAAGACTTAAATAAATTGAATAATATTTGAACATATTTAATTACAGGCGCAGTATATAGCTTGGATTGGAATCTATTTATTGAGAGATTGGCTTTGGTCAGCTAAGGCCCGCTGCACGTGCTGCTCTCACGTGTGACATTACGATTAGCAGTGAAAGTATGAAAAATAAGGGTTTTCCAACTTTGACTTACTTACGAAATATATGAACACAACACAAAATGATTAAAAATATATAATAATAGCGATGAATAATAAGATGGAGACAACGGTATGACATAATATTCTAAATATGATATCAAAAAATATCAAGTAAAAATTTAGTTAAATTAAATGTTTTCTCGTGTTTATTATCAAATAAAATAAACAATACGAAATACGATAGTATATAACACGGCAAGATTGCACGATTTACTGCTCATGTACGTAATTCAAAAATCATAACAAAAGGAAGCTTCCTATATGCTGTAGTTTGTACAATTTAATTGATAGTCATTAACATCAAAGATAAATTATTATTAATTTATTAATAATTTTGTAACCTAAGTTGTAGACATGTAATTCGTAATCGATCAGTTTAACCAAGTTTGTGAAGTAAAAGTCACATTACACGTACGATGTCGAGGGTCAACCTACTGTAAAGTCAGACATTTCGGTTTTACATTTTTCTAATAACAACATAATAAGTACTAGTACTAATAACTACAGTAAAGTCCATGAACGAGAATTATAATAAAATATTGGAGATTTTATTATTTTACAACAATTGGTTGTGAGGTTTGGTCAAGGCTGTCTTAAACATTTTGTCAATCTCAAGGCCTTTCTATAAATCTAAAACATGGTTCCCATGCATAAACATTAATTAGTTGACTTTTTAGAATAGAATAAGTATATGTATAAAAATTTTTAAGTTTATATATTTCAAGTTAGCACCAATTCCAATCAGTGACGGGTCTAGGAGTTTCATTCAAGGGGTCCGATTTTAAATGTAATAACAAGCTTGTAGTTTAAGTTGAAAGTCAAAAGGTTCATTTCACATAAAAATATACTTACTATAAATATAAATATTGATATATGTACCATCAAGTTTTTCAAAACTTAGAACCTGTATCACCCTCAAACTTTTAAGAAAATAAACTTAAAAAAAAATGAGATTTCGTGTATTTGTAACTTAAGTTCAACATCTATACTTTATGCGGAAAATAAGTTTTTTTTTTTATTATTGAAAAATTGTTTTAAATTGAAATTTTTCAGCACATTACATAGCATTTTTGTTGGAGAGTCTATCAAATAAACATTAAAATACATAAATTTAAAAATATGTGATTACACAAAAAAAAAGTAAAAAATCAACATTGAAAAATGTAGCACTTCAACTAAATACTGAGTTTTATTAATTACTAAATCGATTTACATTAAGAGGGTGAAAGAGTAAATCATTATAAATATTTTCAAAATTTTATCTAGAAATGTAAAATATAAGGCTTGTTAGTACACTTTTTTCATAAATAAATATTATTAATTTAAATTAAAACAATATAGAACATAAGTTTTATTTATTAATATATTGTAAATATTTTTTACATTTCTGCTATATATTTTATAGTATTTGCTTTATTATTTTTTTTTTGGGTACAGAGTATTTTCTTTATATATACATATATATTACTGATTAGTTTTAATATTTTCTTTATATATATATTATTAATTTTTTAAGAAAACCAGGGGGACCCACGGGCCCCTGGCCCAATACAAATCCGTCATTGATTCCAATGATTCCAATCTTAATTTATTATTGAAGTGGAAAATGCATTAATCAAAATTTTACAAGACAAAATTAACTCTTACGGTCTTAATATGCAGAGTATTATATCATTTAGAAAGTATTAAAGTTGTATTTTGAACATTTCTTTATAAATACTTGAGATCCTATTGGTTTTTGAAATATGAATAATTAATATAATTATAGTAACGGTTAGTCAAAACTCTTTCTTTAAACAGTTATGTTGTATTTACATTTTCATACATGTGGCATACTTTGCATACCAACATAAATAAAACTATGATAATTTTCAATGTAATACGCATTTTTTCTAGACCTAATACACAAATTTGTATACCCGTTTTTATTAGGTGCTTAGTTGATTGGGTAGGTTTCTTCGTGGGCCGGGCTGGCAAGCAGCTGGCTGAAACGAATTTGAACTACCAATCGATCAAAGTATAAGAAATATGGGCCCCAAACATGGTACTGGGCTGTCCGCGAACACTTCATTCAAGCTCAATGGGTACTCGGCCTAATACATATGAGAGTTCTAGTGTACACTTCTAGATTACATACAAATAATTTTTTTTTTTATGGAACGATAGAGATATTATATATATAGCACAAATGTGCATAAAACAGCTATCAGCTGATTACAAACAACCAACAATTGAATACAAGCAACCAATAGCTGAAAAAGTGGGAGGACATGTCTAACACAAACAACCCAACGAGGTAATACTCTATAACACTAAAAACACACAAAACAACAAAAAAAACAACACAAGACCCCCACAGAGTAATGAAAATGACACTCGGGTGCACAGAGGCCAACGACCTAAACCTAAAACACATTTACTAACACAAAACAACACTAACAACACAAAACGAGAACTACAAAACAAAAACACACAAAGCCCTTCCTCAGCAATCGAACCGATTCAACCAACAGTGAACAATCGACACAAGAGAGACTCCAAGCCCGAAGAACCACTACCGAAACTGTGCAACCGCCTATACAATAGCCAACTCTGAGCCCGAACTAATCCCATAATCGACCCGTCACCAACCGAGAGGATAACAATCCGCCCCCACACCAGTCCCGGCTCGAAGCTCTCAAGAAGCCAGGTCCCCGCCGCCTAACACCACTAGCCAACAGGGGAGGGTGAGGACGACTCATTCCCTCAATCCCGGTTGCCGCAACAGGACCGCCACAGCATCCGGAGTCCCGCCCCGACCCCCGGCTCTCGCTCCTCCCAACACCATTGCAAACCGCTGCCGACCAGAGCCCAGACCACCGGAAGCCCCGCCGTGAACAGCGAAGGTGACCAGGAGGACCTCCAGAGTGCCAGCCAGAAGAAGATCGAAGCTTCTTGTAGAGACGTAAAAATTGTGTCCAATCAAATGGCGCCACGTGGAAATTAATTTATTAAAAATCAAGTCATATTTTCTATTTATATTTTAGGAATTTCCATATTTTTAATTCCTAAATTTAAATAGTTAATTAATTAATATTTTAATATTTTAATTCTTGACCAATCAAATAATGCCAAGTGTCAAATCTTAATTCTTGGTAATAAATCACATGTCTTCTAGAAGATCTTGGGAGATCTAAGTAAATCTAAAAGATCTTATGTGAATCATCATGGACCAATCAGATCGCGTCCTACAATTCTGAAATTTGGTAGGGTTCTTCCTCCTACACCTATAAATAGGGGCTCTCCCTAATGTCAAAAACACATCATAATTCATATTCAAAGTTCAAGAGCTCTAGAGAATTCTCTCGACGAGATTCAAGTGTTCTTGAAGATTCAAAGGCGTTTTTTAAGATTCGAAGCAAGATTCAAGCGCATTCAACCTCAAGACTGGCGTTTAATCCGGAAACAAGCTGCAAAGCCTCCGAATAACGTTAGTAAATTCAAAACCGGCGTGGAGAAGATTCAAGATCTACTTTGCGACGAAGACCAAGGATTCGTGTTCTTCGCGTCCTTGGGATATTTCGACGTTTGATCCGAAATCAAGGCGTTGGCCCTCGGATTAACGTTAATTCAAGTCAAATCAAGTCAAGGAGAAGATCAAGCCGAAGATTTCGCTCCAAGACTTAAAATTGTTCGTGAGAAGAATCAGAGGAATAATAGAGATTGTAACCCACTATATTTATTTTATTCGAGAAATTCATTTGAATAATATTTTTCGTGTTTTTAAATTCAATACACGAAATTTGTTGTTACACTTCCCTCCTCCAATCGAAGACTGCCGGCGACCAAGGAGAGACCTTCCGACTCTGACCGACGGAGCTCCATTACACGACGCAACTCGCCGGCGACGAAGAAAGCCACCAATCGCGACGCCTGCAGGGCCATCGAAGACTTGCGAAGCTAGTGGTGGGCCGAGCAGTCAGAAACGACCACTGGCCGGAGTCGTATCGTCACCGCGGAAGGCAATTTGACGGGAATTTGAGGGGAAAGTGACGGAAGATTGGGCGACGAAATTGGGGATAGGGTTATCGCGTTTTTTAAGCTTTACCTTTCTACAAATAATATTTTTTAATGAGTAGTTTATAATTTATATATCTCTCCTTATATATTAATTCAAAACATGTTGAGTCTAAGTGACAGATTCTTGCACTTCGGTTGCTGACATGACAAAAATCTATGCTTCATAATGTTGTTTATATATTCATTTTTGCTCTGGAGTTAGGCTTGATATTAGATATAAATAAGTTTTTTCAAATTTGGTAAGTATATATTTAATTTTTTTATTTTTCTTCTCTTAGTTTGGGCAAATAGCAATCTTACCATATTATAATTTTCTCCCATATTTTTCTCATAAATTATGATTGACAAATCACTTTCTCCACTGTCTATTCCTATTTTTTTTCATCAATTAGTCCATCAAAATTTTTAAATAATAAAATTATTTTAGAAATAACTTCTATCATATAATTCTTAACTTAACACCCGTGTAGTACACGAGTATTGTACTAGTGCTTTATTATTTATTAATCTATATATATATATATATATAATTACTAGCTGATACATTTAATAAAACTTATTTTCATTTTCCTCCAAAAGGAGTTACATTTTTTTAATTAATTATTTACTAATCTCCTAAAACCGTTACACCTTAAATATATATATATATATATATATATATATGTATTATTTATTTTTTGGATCAGTTACTAAATTAATTCTAAATTTGGTAGCAAAATATTCAAACGTGCAACGCTATTGTTGAAACTTAAAGTTGATTGACACATTCAGAGCTGTAACTGCTATAATTGGTTGCATTGTTGGAAGAAAAATATAATTGCACATATTTTTTTTCTTCTAAAAATCAGAAACACCAATAATTTTTTTTGTTTATGATAATTTTCTTAATATATGCCACAAATATATAAATTATTTTATTCATGTTACTAATGTAAACGTTGCATGGTTAAAATAAAATTTAAATCTCAATTAATTTTGAATGATAAAAATAACTTAAGAAAAAATAATAATTTTTATACGATAGAAGTACATGTCTAATTAATAAATACAAACAAAATGTGTTTTATATTTGTGCAAATGCACAGGATCAAATACTAGTATACAATCTTACTTCAACAATAGTTTTTTTTAATAATAAATACAATTGAATATTCAATAATAGAATAGTGACTAACTGATGAAAGCTCAAATAAATAAGATCAAAGTTCCACTCCCCCCAAAAAAAAAAATTGCATTACCAATTAACATTTGGATTTGTAAAAAATTATAATATTAGGCGACAATAAAACTAAAAATAAGATAAAAAAATAGAAAAAAATAAATAAATTGTATTGCCTTATCTATATTTTAATCTCTGAAAAATTAATATTACACTACAGTACCTATATATATGCAACAACACAAGTAAAAGATGATCATTTGACAAATATGAAAATTATTTGACTAATGCTAATATGCTTCTTCACAAACAAACAAAAAAGTAAAACCATTCTTACTTGGATAGAAATTATATTGCATAGGAAAGAAAGACACAACCATACAAACCATACAATCCATGCAAGACATAAACTATAAACACAGCCCCATTCTTGGACTTTACCTTAACACATAAAATCTCCTTAACAACCTTAACTACTTAAAAAAAAAAAAAACCCAATCTTCTTCTTCATCAATTGGGTTTTCCACAAACTTTCCTGATCTCTCCATTCGACCCGGTGAGCGGGCTGATGTCACCCATCCTAATCATGGCATCAGCAAAGTCCTTCTCGAAAGCTTTCGGGTCTTTGCTATACGAGCCGACAATAGAGTCAGTCGAGCCTCCATTGTACAGAACCTGATCCGAGTGCATGAGTCCCTTTTGTGCCACGAGGTTTTTGAAGTAGGCATTGTCGAAAGAAGTCGGGCTTTGAAAGTCAAGTGGGGCCAAGTTGTTATCTCCCGAGCCGCTAGCTCTAGGGCACGTCCCCTGTCTCGTCCGAGCAAGCGAGGCCTCGATGTTCGACTCGTTGTATATTCGGCCTCTGAACACAGTACACCTTGCTTGCCCTATGGTGTGTGCTCCTGAGAGGGCATTTTTTTCATTGGAATATAAGTAAATTGAAAAAAAGAAAAAACAACACAAGAATAAATTTAAGACAGAAGAAAGGAAAATTGAAACAGGGGAAACAGAGGAACTATGAACCTGCTGCTGCTGCTGCTGTAGTTAATTAACACTGGTAATAATCTTAACCATGGTTAATTAATTAGGACAAAGATTTTTAAAAGGGAATATATACACATAGGTACCTGATAATACAACCATGTCCTTAGTGGAGAGACCCTTGGCTTTGAACTTGTTTATAAGGTCATCAAGATTTGAGGTTGGTGGTGGTATTACACCACTGTTTGCAGCTGAAAGGCTTGCTGTCTTTGAGTCTTTCCTCCCAACTTTAACTTCCCAAGTGGGCCCACCAAGCTACATCGTTACAAATCAGTCATCAACATTTTTTTTTTTCTTTCTTGCAAGAAAAACTCAACTCTTTACTTAAGTACATTCTTGTTTGAAGTCATTTTGAAAGAGAAAAAAAAAAAAACTATATATACATTTTGTTGTGATTTTGGAACTCTTCATAATTTTGAGTGGATTACAAAAGCTTTTATTCGATATTTCTAGTAAGAGTGAAACTTACAAGAACAACCGAGTCCCGAGCAGCAATGGCTAAAATATCAGCACACGACACGATGCCAGGGCACACGTATTCCACCTTTGACTTAATGTCGTCAATTACATCGAAGCCCCTAAGCGAATTCGAGTTCGGACGGGCCGTTTGTTCGCCGGTGAACGATGACGTGTCATCCAGAAGTACGGATCCATCACAGCCCTGTCAGTTTAACTTCACACTGTCAATGATCGATTTACGTAGTACAATACCAAATGTGAACACTTTACAGTTTACACAAAAGCACTAGAAGAAATATAATGCATTACGTTTAGACACAAAACTATTAAATTAAAGACGATTTAATTAACTTGAACGAAACAATCGTGGAAGTGGAGACGCAAGAGGGAAGCCCCCATGCGTTTTTCCTTATCAACTGCAGATTTAACGGCCGATTTCACTGTTGTAAACACGTTCGGGCAAGTCTTTTCGTAATAGCTCGTGGATAATTGAGCAGACGAGCTGTCGATCGCGAACAATAGCATAACGAAGGAAACAATTAGAAGCTTAGCCATTGGAGAGAGTATAGTCTATGGCAGAGGAGAAGGAGAAATATGAGAAGGAGAAACAATTAAATGTGTTGACTATTATGAGATTTTGTTGTGTGGAAAAATGGAGTGCAAGCTCAAGGCCTATTTATAGGTGACAAATTTTAACCAGAATTTACCTAATGATGAAGACATGCATGGCAGATAATCTACTGAACCAAGTTATACTGGAGTTAGATCAGATTAAGTGTAACCTCTCCTTGATTGACCAATTATGATAATTGACGGAAAATGCTACAAGTACATAATAAATGTGTATAAAGGCGTACATAATACTCAGATGGAATGGGGTCCACTTAATTTTTTATTTTTAAGTCCCACTCAATGTGAGTGTTATGTACACTCCTACGTACAATATTATGTACCTATGACATTTCTCAAAAAATGTCATACTTTTAGATATGTCTTAATACATACTTATATTTTAAAATGTCATAATACATACTTATGAGGCGGTCTGACATTTAGATATGTCTTAATACATACTTATATTTTAAAATGTCATACTTTTGTTATGTTGTTTTATAATGTATTAAATTTCAATTTAAAAATAATCAGATATGTATAGCTGTTAAAAAAATATAATTGTCTCCATAACATTAAATTTGGGAAAATTAGATTAATGCAAATAAGCACTAATAGATTAGGAAAAATGATTGAATAATTTTGATCATAGAATTATTGGGGGGTGTGGGCAGGTGGAAAATTTTCAAAACCTGCTTCACATGATTACTTAAACTAGAATAGGAATCATGCCGGTCTTTTTCAAGATTCCCCATGCAAGATTGGACGTAGAAATTGATGGGCATCTTTGGTAGTAGCTATATGCATGTAATGAAGACATATGGAAAAGTTTAAGAAGACATGAGACCATTAATACCATATATTCTTTCTTCTGTGTTTTTTTCGAAAAGAAAAAATAATAATATAACTATATAAGTATGTATTTGTATTGAAAGAGGATGACAGATTAAATTTGTAGCAATTTGATCGCCAAACAACATATTTTTATTGTTGGAAGGGGTGTTTATATATTATAATAGAGCGTGATAATATACTTTTACTTTTTTTCTTTCATACGACTAAATATTTTGTGAAATTCAATTTTGTTGGATATATTTCATGGTCAATACTATTGTTAGGAACAAAGTATAATATTTCATGACATACTCAAATATGCATTAATGTTAAAAAAAAATTATGGGTCGATCCGCCTACCGTTAAACGTCTTATATATGATTTTAGAGTAGTTAGAATTTTGAAACCAAATGACATGCTCCGATGCTCGAGATTAGTATGAAAATTTCGACCCCGCCCTTGCAATGCCCATAGGAGCTTCAGCAGTATACAATGTACACACACATGTGCGTATGTAAGACGTATATATGTATATTCGTATATGATGTTGAAGCCAAGTAATTTTCCCCTAGTTAGAGTGTTAGACTAATATATAAATTCAAATCTATGTGTAAGTTGAAACAATGTAACTTGTCATTAATAGTTAATGTGTTCATGAATGATTCAAATTTATTCATTGAAACATCATTGTCATTGTGACATTGTCAAATAGTTAATCCCGCTGTTTTATTCTACTGTGCTTAGATTTTTTATCCATTTACTTTCTAACGGCCTTTTGAGTTCCCTTACAAGTGTCAACCAAAAGAAAAAGTCTTTTGAACTATATATCTTATAATACATTAACCGTGAGATGGATTAACTCGTTATAGTATTTTTGTATTTCTACGAAAGTATATATTTATTTTATAAAATGTCATATTTATATTATTGTTTTTTAGAGTATGAAATTTTAAATTTAAAATCATACACATTTATCATTTGCGTCTTCCAAGTCTTGATCAATTTGTTATCAATTGAATATAAATTTATCTCAATGGTTGGTTGGTATACGGTGTATCTCGCCATTCAAGTGAAAATTTAATCTTCTCGTTTATCAGTTAGTTTACTAAAGTAATTATGTGTAGATATAAATTTTAATTATTAACTTTAAAGATAAATAATGGGCAAGGTAACTAATATCTACTATTATGTATATTTATTATATAAATATTTACTATTTCAACACCAAGTATATACAGGTAAATTAATAGTTTAATAGTGGTCGTGGGCTGGGCCTGGTAGGTTTAGCCAGGAAAGCCTTGATTGAACCAATTGGTTGGATAACCTAATTAGGCCCACTAATGTAAAGACCGAAGCTTACTTCGTATATGTGAAAACTACTATCTAGTGTATTATACAATATTATCCATCTCATATATAATTGCATAATGCGTTGAGCTAAGTGAGAGACTTGCCCGCTTCAAAATCTTATATAGCAAAAAACCATGCTTCGTAACTAGGCTTGGATAATAAATTGGTATTTTCTATAAAATAATAATTAGGTTTGGGAATTGCATAAAATATCTATATTATTCAATTAAATCTTCATTTTTTACTTATACAATTAGTTACCATAAACTACTTTAGGTTTCCTTTTCCTACATAACCATATATTAAATTTCCTTTTCTTATTTAATTCATACACCAATTATCATAAATGTCTTCTTATTTTCTAAACTAGTACGAATCCCGTGCGATGCACGGATAAGAGATATTTATTAATATTTATAAATTAAAATTTCATAAAATAATATTTATGAATGAAAAATATGAAATAAATATGTAATACAATATACCTATATTAATTTATTAAAATATTATATAAAATTTAAATTGTGCAAAATTACATAAATCATGTCTATTTAAAATTAGTACACAACCTGTACGGTGCACGTAAATGGTAATAAATTACATTATATTGATAAAATTTGGATTTAATCTTATACGAAATAAATCGCTTAATCCCAATAGCGTTCATATCGAATAATCGAGAATCATAATCGAATAGCGGAAGCGTACCTAATGGATTCATATCGATTGATTGTACTGAAATTGAATTAGGATTTGGAGTTCTTCCAAAAAGCCGTGAACTCGATAATTCTTCTCATCTGATGTAAGAAGATAAAAAACTAATAAACTGATGAAGAATCGTGGGGAACGGTTTATTCTTCTTATAACTTAAAGAAGAATTTCAATAGATCCCTTGTATTTATCACGTCTTTTGGAGACTCCACCCATAAATCATTTTGACCCAAATTATTTGTTACTTAAATCCTTAAGTTTAATATTATTATTTGTTATGTCACCAAATAATAGTATTATCGGGTGTCCACTTTAATCATTCCACAATCTAAATTAAGTTCCTTAGCCAATATTCCTTTACAATAATTTGATCACTTGATTTGGCTAAACAACATAATGAACCAATGTATCAATTATACATATTTAATCACAAAATAGACATAAAATATATTTATTTCAAAATAAGTGTCATTTTAAAACTTTATTTAGAAATTCAATTTGACTACAATGTGATTCCATAAAATAAAAATTTTAATAAAAAGGTATCATATATTTAAAAAGATATGAATAAGTATAATTACAAAACATATATCGTTTTATTAAATAAAATATTTTGTATAAACTATTCAATTAAAAAAAATTAAGTGGTTGAGTAATTAATTAAATAATAAAAAACTGCCTATTCCATTTACATCTAAATTAATATTGACCCGTAAGTTATAAATATTATTTATTCGACTTTTGAATTTGGAACCCAAATTTGGAATACAAAATAAATTCCCTTATATATTTCATATTTATAATATATATATATATATTTATATTATCTCACAATTTTCTAGATTTGTTGTCGTTTACTTTATCATTCAAATTTATCAACTATTTCTCTATAATAAAATTACAATTTTTTATTTTTATTAACTTATATTTGTTCAAAGATCTTTTTGAACTTCAAGAGGAATATATATCAATTTATCGAATTATCATTAATATCTTATGGAAAGTTATTATTGGAATATAATAAAATTTGAGAGTCATATCAACTTGATTTTATAACAAATCAGCCTAAACTTCACTTTTCATACCCATACTAAATAAAATTCATACCACTTATTTTGTTTTCAAAACTTTCAAATACACTTTTATCCATACGAAATAAAACTCATACCATTTAATTTAAATATTTCATATCAAAATAAAATTGCCCAAGTAAATTTTATATATACAGAGAGAGATTTGTATCTATATATAATATTCCAAGTAAATTCAAACATTTTTAATGATAATCCACATGCATTAGATCATGAATGAATATTGAATACTATAATAATAATATTTTTTTTATTTTTCCATCTTTTTTTAATAATTTTGTAAAATTCCTATAATACTTGTTGTATATTTGTTTCAATCATTTTTAAAATAAATATTATGTCAGGATTATGATGGCTAGAGCATTTATATTATGAACATCTATTTTTTTCTCTCTACATTATTAATATCCTATACAATAATTTTTTTATTCTTAAATAAAAAGTGTTAAAGTTTGAAAATTGTGATAAGTATTCTAATAAAAAAAATCAAATTGCAAATAAAATTAAATCTCTGAAATTATATTGAATTTAAAATAGTAGTACATATTATTTAAAAATTGTAAAGTTTGATCTTTATGGGTAACTGATAAATTATTAATTATTTTATTATTTTAGGAGGTAGAAGAAACACCCCTTCCGACGTTGAGTTCTTGTAGGTTTGGAGGCTGTTCGGAGTAGAAGAAAGTAGATCCAGCTGTGTTAGCTCGAATAAAGACCGAACGAAGTCCGTTTCACTATTATAATTAATAACAATATATATCATGAATGTACTCACTATTTTTTTTTTTTTTCAGACAATAATTCACATAGTTGTTCGATAAACGACTCGTTAACTTATCAGTCTTATCATTCTAAATCTATGTATACTTGCTGGTTGATATTTGTTTATACTATTCTGTATGTTGTGAATATTTATCTAGTAGACATTTAAATTCTATTATATGAGATACCTTTACGCTACTAAAAAAATTGATATATTCAAACAGAAAATCCAAGGCTAATATTTTTCAATGAAAATTCCAACTAATATTCCAATGGTATG